TTTACGCGATGAATTTTGGAGTCTGATTACAAACCCAAGGCTGCTGCTTTGATCCTCCTCTCCCCTAACAACAGGCTCACTGCAGTAGAAACGTGCAGGGTGAGGATTTCTAGTTTCACTCTTGCTGACACAAATCAAGTGCAGGTTTCTCAAGCTGTGAAGTATATTAAGTTCACAGAGTTTTAACAAAGGACTACCAAACCACAGAACCTCACTGCGAGTCACACTTCTTTCAGATGTCCTTTTAATTATATTAAATGAAAGTTTTAGGCACTTTGATACTGATGAGCAAACATCTCGGTGTCTTGAAAAAGCAGCTAAAAGTACTCCCTGTAGCTACAGTTAATATACAACATTGTATGCTCACTGCTAGCCAATTTATTCCAGCCACTTTAACAACGATACCTCGCCTGACAGGCTGTGCAGAATAGCATCAGGAGTCAAGCAATGCACAAATCATCAGAGAACTCTCAGAGTTGTTTGACACACACTGCAGAGCTCTTTGTCATACAGCCAATTAAGTGACCAAACAAGGAACTTGAAAACCTTCATTAATTTGCCTCTTTTTTATATAAATGGAGGTTAGAGTCTTTCTTGTCAGAGGGGCAACAATAACACAAGCAAACACGGCATAATTCAATTTGTGCTCCTTCTTAGAGCTGCAAGTTTCTTTCGTTTAGTCTTCACAGAAGTTGGGACCAATCATGCAAGCAAGAGAGAAGTAGGACAAACAGAATTAATCCACTTTAAATAGTACTGGCTAAGTCCCAGATGCACCTTTTATCTGATGAGAACTACTAGGTTAGCAAAGAAAAAAAATTAAAAAAAAATAAAGTCTCTTCTCCTCAGGTTTAATGCCTTGAATCCTCTGAGGAAAGCCTCTCATTTTTTGCTTAGAGCAGCAATTCAAACAGCCTCTGTTTCAAGCAAGAAGTGTTCAGAAAACTTCCGGCAGAACCAGAAGGAGAACTCTGCAACCGCCTGTCTGCTACCAGGAGCCTGCCATCATCTCAGCACCAGCTCTGTGCGTGGCTCTGATGACACCTGCACCCAGAAACTCTTGTAATTACCAAGGAGCAGGTGGCACTTCCATAATCTTTGCCATATGCTGTCCAGACCAGTGCAGAATTTCAAAACAGTGCAAGCTGATTTACAGGGCAGCTCAGAGGATGGCAGGAACCAAGAGCAGCACACTCCATTAGACGAGGAAGATGCTGCAAAAGCAACCCTCTGCTGCCTCCTTCTACTCTTCCCACAAAGCTGCCATTCACACTGTCTGTCATATTCACCAGCCTCAGGCTTTAAAACCACTCAGACTGACGTTATAAAATTAACCAAAAGAATGGGAACCCTGTGAAATTTTAGTTTTCCAAGATCCTCATCCCAAATGCAACATGCAATTTCACATAGCTTCTGGTTTGGCGCTGCAGGGAAATTCATTGGCTTCCTGATGCCCCAGAGCTGCAGCCCACAAATCCACATGAAGCAAGCAGGTGAGCTCAGACTTTGCAGTCAGATGCATGTACATGATAAAAAGACTGCAAGCATGGGTGTGGTATGAACCTTTAATCAAACCTAGTGTTTCCAGCTACTAAATCAGCAAAATTCTCTAATTTTTTCCCCATGTTTAAGTTTTCTGTTTTAATACAGCCTCACTTACTACATTATGTGAGTACTTAGCCTTTATTTTTCCCCTTTACTACCTCACCTCAATTCCTAGAGGACAGGAGAATTGCATCCATGGCATTTTAAGTTGGGGAGCTGAGAAATATCAAGCACATGACACTTGCTGAGGGGCATGGAAGAAATCTGTGACACCAAACCCAGTTAAACAGTCCCCAAAGGCAAGTTTTGGCAACTGTGTAGAAAATCTCTGTTTTCTACATCTCCAGTACTTCAGTTTAAGGACAACAACTTTGGCAAAATGAACAAATATAAATTCTGAAAAAATTAAAGAAAATTCATACCATACTTACATCAGAGACCAGCCACCAAACCGAGCTATGCTAATTAAATGTGTCACCCATTGTGACTCATTCTCCCACATGATGACTTCCCCATCCCTTTCCCAAAATGGAGTGCAAAAACTTCAGAAAGTGGACATAGGAGATGTAGATCTCTGCTCTCTAAAAGGCCACCCTCTTTTCTAACAGAGCACCTTGCTGAGACCACTCTGTCACCTTTATATACACCTTAGTCAGCTCAGTCTCAGCTGACTATTAATTAGTATCACAAATTAAAACCCACTTAGCAGTCTCTTAATTATCACCATGACTGAAAATTCTTGCAGCAACTGTCCAGTCATTATATTAATATGTATTCATTGTGCCACCTGCTGGGTTGGTTCTTGCTGGATTTTTGAGACAAAGAAAGATCGTTTACCACATTTGAAACTAAAGAAGCAGCATTTGTAACCTCTATCTTAGTAAATAAAATCCCTAAGCTTTTAGCTCAACAAATATTGTGAAAGTAAAAAAATTAAATCCATGCTTGTTTCAAAGGTACCCAAAGAGATGAGGTGATAATCTGATAATGCATTCCCAGTTCTATGTTTGAATAACGTGCAAAAAAATTTCTCCATCTACTTTGTATATTTATTTATTATAATTTATTTTGGGCTTAAGAGGACTTTATACACCAGTCGCTACTGGGGCTCTGTCATGGCTACTTAGACTGGTTAGCTCAAAGAAAACAGCAAGGCTGACTTTAGCAATTATTATCTTCTCAGGTCACCCTCCTCCTTCCAAAAAAACCACCTTTCCTCAACAGCACTTTTGATATTCACTATGAACATCTCTTGCATTAACTTCACACTGCGCCTCCCTTTGTCTAGGGAACACAGACTTAAAGATACACTTCCAGCCCTCTGAGCCAAACTGAGCCAGGGATGCTCTCCACAATAATGGGATCAGCATGAGGAGACCATGTCAGCAAAGTTGAACACTCTATTTCTCTGCCATCAAGGCCATATGTCCCAGTGACTCCCCATGTTCCATTGACTTTACCAAACCAGGGTGCCACCACTCAAGATCTGTTGAAAAATCCCTGCTTAATTCCCTCAGCCAGCCCAGACATTTCACTTCCTGGTAAAGGATGAGTAGCCTGTAACAGGACTATCTGCAGCCACATCTAATTGCTATTACAGACAACCTCTCCCTGACTAGATTTTTTGATGACTTTAGCCACACAATTTTCTAAATGGAAGCATACTGTATGAAAATGTGTCGAGACACATTACTTTACCTCCATACAGTACAAAGCAGAGCTGGAAAGGTTCAATTAGGTCATCTAATTCATTCTTCAAGCCCTCTTTTACAGGACTGTCCTCTTCAATATACGTACCAGATTTGTCCATATCCATACTTAACAGCTCAAGCAATGAGCTTTCATCAGTTTTCATCTACTGAAGAAGTAGGTGTGTGATTAATGTTTAAACACGCAAGCAACCTTTCCAAGTGAAAGGAAAGGAGTCCTTGAAATTAAGGGTAAGCTTAAGTTTTTGCAGAGTATTCAGGCTTCATTCTATCAAGGCCAAGCTCTCTGTAGGGTATATTAAACTCACCAATCACTACTGTTTGAATAAAGACAGAAGAGCAGGAGCATGCACAGACTCTGTGGAGAATGTCTATGCAGCCAGTGGAAAGCACAACTATGGATCAGGTAGCACCCAGTGTCCCCAGCAGGACTGTGCAGCCCTGGCAGAGTCAAAGCAGTTTCACCACGTTTCCAGTGGTAGCAGTACACAAGGTAGCTAGCTTGGGAGTGAGCACCACAGTGTAAACTCTCCTAAATTCCTTCAAATGCCTGCTGGCTGCTTTCTCTGGGATCCCAGACAAGGGATGTGTAACTCCTAACTCATCTTTACCCATCATTAATGTACATGGAAGGGAAAAGGTGACTTTCTCTAGTGACATTTTCCAGAGGGAAGGCAGCCTACCAGCACAGAGGGGTACTGTTTTATTTCTAACGCCCTAGAAGTCCAGACCATCTAATCCCGTTTGCTAAATTAAATATGTGTTCACAAAGTGAGTTAGCACTGACTGTAGGAAGTGGAATTTTGCAGGAAAATGCAGGTACAGACAGCCCCCTCCAGAAACATAAGAGTTCATTTATGCATTACACATATACATATAAATAATGATCAACCACCCATAAGAACAATATCGACATTCACAAGCACAAGACAGAGATTAGAAGGTAAAACATTCACATTTCTTAAACCTACAGTATACAAAACAGATTTATATATTAAAAAAACCAAAAAAACAAATACTGGAGCAAATGCTATAAGGCAAGGTGACAGGATTAGTGAAACAACCTGAGGTCCCACTCCTGAAAAGCCCACAAGTGTGATATTTCCAGAATGCTGGAGCTTGACTTTGTTCACATCAAACACAACATAATAAGCCTGTGAAAGTCAGGCCAGACCTGGGTAACTTCACGGGATGTTATATTCATTACTCTGTGCATTGTTTGCAGCACTCTCCTCCTTCCAACATCTCTCTGAGACACTCTGCATTTCATTACAAACCTACCTCCTCCCTCATGACCAGTGTTGCCATTTTGAATTGTTTCTAAATCTGAAAGTGTAGAAGGGGAAGAAGGAAAGCTAAGGAAATGCAGGTGGCAGTAACGTGAGTGACATGCTGTAAGTAAAATCTTGTTGGTCTGGAGACACCTCTGTGAGCAGCAGTTTTGCATTCTTTACTTGAACATCTCCATACTGTTCTGCTCATTCAGATGGCTGGATGAATCTTGTCAGATCTCTCTTGTGTTTTTTTCTACTCTCTGGTTCTGAGATTTTGTCCCAAATTTTTTTCAAGTCAGAGAGAAATGGGAGAGGTCGGTGAGATAAAAAATGGCATTATTATCCTGTAACCTTAACCTTAGAACTTGCTGCCACAAAGGTGGTAATAATCAGATTATTCACAGAGACAAGACCCACTTCACAGTCATTCAGTCAAACAACTGGACACGTGTATTAAAAACACAAGAAATACCTGGACATAGGCCCTGCAAGAGCGCTCCCTTTTCTGAAGCTGAGTCCATAAAGAGAGCAGATTAAAGACGGAATAGAAAAAACAAGTTAGTGACAGAACAAGGGGAAAAAAAAAAATGAAGAAAATGCCTGTGAAAAAACCCTCATTTCTCTCTTAAACAGCTCCTGGAAAACCAACCAAACTGAAGGAGTGAGCGTGAGTTAGACAGCAGTGGAAAACTGGAAGACTCCAGTTTTGGAAACTCCAGAAATGTGGGTTAGTCCTTTTTCAGTGAAGTCCAGCACAGACTGGCAACTTTGCAAGAGCAGCTGTTACATGGTAGAAGACATTGAAGTCTAGTAGAGATACTCTAGAGATGATGTTTTCCTTACAGCTTGGAGATCACACATGACATTTCCATGTCAAACAAGGCTGAAAAGGATGAGGCTGATGGTTATTTGTGTAAGAGGAGCACGGGCTCTGCAGCCAGACAGTGTTGATGCCACAGTGAAATATAACCAAGCTTCAGATAAGCAGGACCAACCCCAGAAAGACGTGTGCAGGACCGCATCCTGATAGAGCCTGGACCTGTATGGACCCATCCTGACAGACCTGGGGCTTGGCAGGCAGTCTGCAGCAGTGAGCTGGAATTGGTGAGCTCTGCATCACTGCAACAAAAGCTCACAAAACCCGGCTGCTCAGAGCACTGGCTTGGCTGGGTTTGTTTTTGCTGATGTGCCTGGTTGGAAATTGCACATCAACAGAGATTCAGGGCAACTTGTGCTCTCAACACACAGCAGTGCAATCCCATTAGTACAGCTGAGAGCCAAATTTGTCCTCAAGAGTTTTAAGGCTCTGAAATAAACAAAATACACCCAGGTATCATGCAATGCCTAATTTCAATTTCTAATTCATCAATTTGAAACCGTAAAAATCTTCCTCTGGGTAAATCTGGCCAGTACGAAGACTTTACAGAAACAAATGGAGATCAAAGAAAGCCTTGCTGAAAATTACAGAGCTATCCACTCGGGGGTCTTCCCAGTCTGAAATGGAACAATTATCACCTTAATTAAGCTTGCTCCAGTGGAAAGCATAAAGCTTTTAGTGACAGAAAAGTGGTTTCTGAAAGATGATGGCTTTTAAAAATTCTGATTATGCCAGTTTATTTCAATTCATTGTACATCAGCTTGTAAAAAAAACCCCAGTACAAAACAGCACAGGTGATTACTTTCAGATCCCCAGCACATTTCCTTTAATGATTAAAAGAATATTTAATGGCTATGGCTAGTGCTTACTTTATTTCTTCTTTCTGACTAAAGAGCACTAAACAAAACTCTTTGCAAATTACTTTTTTCTCTTTTCTTTTTTATTTTTTTTTAAAATACTGTTGATCAGTGAAGGGGAAAATGGAGCAGTAACTCTGCTGCCTTTTGTTTGCCCAATACTACTTCCAAGTTGAATTCATGCATTCTTAAATGAACACAGAACAGTTGCTCTTCTAAAGAATTAAGTGGGGAATGAGAGCAAGTAAATTACTGAGCCTGTCATTTGGATCACTGACTCGCATCACTGTTTTGCAGGACTTCACATGGTTCAGAATTTTAATGTGGAATGCAATTGATTTGTATGAGTTGCTTGTGCAAAGCTGATGGCAGGGGAAAGAAACCTGCAGTGGGGACTCCAGGAGTGACAGCTGAGCCAAGCAGCTCTGCCTTGTCCAGTCTTCCCCTCCCCTCAGTAACTCATTCCTGCCCCCATGATACAACCCCATTTCATGTAATTGAAACAAATATCATAAGGTGAGATAAAAACAAAGATGAAAAGTATGCGCTTGCAAAGCTGAATTGACAAAATGTCGGGTGTGGCTGGGACGCATCCAGAAGAGCAAGCAGACTACAACCATGAAACCCGTTAGTAGGTGACATTAATTGCTGGCTTTACCTAATATTGTCAGACATCACTATCATTTCAAGAACCGTGGTGTGATTATAACAAGTAATGTTATGCTGATGTAACAGTTAATATAATTATTACCTACATTGTTATAAAATGGCTGGAAGCAGCACTAATTAAAAGCATCAGGATAACCCAATTCACAGCACATGCAAAGCACATGAGATGCAGAAGTTCAGCTCCCATGCGACTGAAATATCAAGCAATCCCGAAGCTCTTAGCATTTAAAACAGCATCAGTGTACAATTATAACTTGCAAGAAAAGAGACCAAATTACTTCTCTGAAAAGCATTTCTCTTCATAAACACCAAAGAAGATACAGGTTTAGCTGGGATCACTTATTCCCCATATAATCTTGGGACCAAGTTCTGTTCATGCTTACATGAATGCCAGAACTGTCAGAGTCTGCTATGCATCTGAGAACAAAATTCTGCGTCGTATTTTAACAGGGTGGCCGATATAACCGTGTGCTCATAGTCACCAGGGTCCAACTGTTCCTTGTCCTTACAGCCAGGCCCCCGTCAGAATTCCTAGGTAGGTCCTATCCCATGTGTTTACATGAGATTCAGTGAGGGCCTCTCACTAAGGAAACCTTCACCTTTAAATGCATTCTTACAGAGTCCACAGCTCATATTTTCTCCCACAGCTGGCAACTCCTAGCACCTTTAGCGCTACCTAGCAATTCCTCTCGCTTCCAGAAATGACAAAAGGACTAATAATTCTTCTTGAACAGTGGGCACAGAAGCCACGCTGTTGCGACGCAGTTAAGGTGCTTTTGGGCTAAGCAGCAGGCCATGGCCGGCAGGGCCCCGTGGCTCTCACCTTGTTCAAGCTGCGCGCGGCGCTGTCCTTCCCGCCGGGAGTCAGGTTGCGGAGCTGCACGTCCAGCAGGTTGACGAGCTGGACCATGGCGGACACGGAGTAGGCGATGTCACCGGCGTACAGGTGGCTCCTGGTGTGCTCCGCCAGCTCCCGCGCGATGTTGGCGGCCATCTCCCCCGACCTCATCTGCGGGCGAGAAAGCAGAGGGAAAGGTTGTCCCCAGCTGCCAGTGAGATGTCACTCCAGTGCCTTCCCACCCCACGGCGTTAACCAGGTCAACTCCCCTCAAGAAGAAGAAGAAGAAAAGAGATGAAGAAGAGAAGGAAGGAGGAATAGAAGCATTTCCCAAGAAGTCAACTACGAGAGTATTTGTGGTTTGATCATGAATAGTTTTTTGAGTATGGTTTTTCCACTCAACTATGGTGGCTTCAACAATTTCTTCTCACTGGGCACTGTTTTCCATGGGATTTCCATGCTAAGGAGGGTTTTAATTTAATAATTTAATTTAATAATAGCTTGTCCCCTTGGCTTGCTGTGCCACTTGAAAAAAAAAACCAAACCATGTAAGTAGCCTCTCCTGTCAAGAAAAAGCAGCTTCTGATTCCAGAAGTTTATGTGATAGCGAAGAGATGATTTCTATTACAACTTCTGCACAGCTCTTGTAAAAGGAGCAACAATAGGTGACATAACCCAGAAAAAACAGAGAAAAAAGTTCACAATTTCCATCTTATTGATTTAATAATCAGGTGCTAATTTATCACTTAGTATCACTTGCCACATTAGCCACTGAAAATGACGCCAGTGACTCTGAGCACATGTAAAAACATCCATCTAGAGCAAAAGGCTCAAGCAGAGGCCCCCCAGAAGCAAAAAGCCAGCCCATTGGTTGGCTGAATCTTCTACTAAAACACTTGTATCATCTAGTTGAGTCACAACACTCACAAATAACCTGCAGGGAAATTCACTGTATAATTATTTGGGAAACTGTCACTTTTTCCCTGTGGCTTTTTTCCCCCCGTTCTTGCTCTGTTTTTGTTCTCCCTGGTACTCCTTTCCTCTCCTGTGCCATGGGGATTTGGGACAGGGCAGCTGGCCCCATCTCCTTTTCATGAGCAGCCCACTACAAAAACCACTGCAGGTTGCTGGTCTTTTATTCATTATCTACCAGTCTGTGATCTGGAATGCAAATCCATGTGGAATATGCCTGGGACAAGGAGAAATTATACAGGATGACACATAAATGAATGTCCCACTTCTCTGTCAGGCTCAATGGCAAACTCTGCGGGGTTCTTCATATGAATTTTCAATTGTCTTATCTACCCACAGCTAGAAATCAGATATTTCTCTTGTTCCCTCACTTTCTGGTGCTTATTATAAAAGCAAGATTCTAGGGAAAGATTATAGGCTGAGCTTCTACCTCTCTGTAAATCAATTAGCCGAGTTAAAAATGAATAACTTACTTCCATCAATTTGACAGCAAAAGCCAATCTGATTTAATGAAATCTAACTCAAGATGTTCATATGCTCGTCTTCAGAGAATTAACGCATATGATGATACAGAGAAGATAAATAAAGGAGATAATATGTTGTTCTTCCCATTAGAGCAATGATAAGATATATTCAAAAACTGAATTATTTCTTTCTTGTTACACAGAAGACTAATGCCATAGAAACCAGCTCCTACTCTTACAGCTGTCTGCTCTCCTAAGCCACGCATCAGCACAGAGGCTGTATTTTGACCTCTGCTGTTGGCTCTCAGAACTTGAAAGAATGACTGCATCAAATCCCTTTACATAAAGAAATAAATTTCAACATTTTCCTGCAGCTTATTGCTGGAGCTTAGCATGGATCACAACACACTGTGTTTGTGTAAGCTCTGCAGAAAACTGCGGGAATTCAAGATATTTTTTACAGATACATCAGAGAAAAACCAAAAACCCTGCTACCCAATATTTGATGCTCACACTTTCCCTTGCACCACACACCTATGCAAACCTCACACTTAAGAGAAAATTGCTCAGCTGCTCCAAAGGCAAACACAAGAATTTGCTGTCCCTGCAGGCTGCTGCCATTCCTATCTCTGTGTAAAAGTGATGCAGGCAGGTCACTAATTAACCCTTTTCCTTTTCTTTTGGACTGATCCTAAAACAGCAAATCTGAGGAATTATACTGTGGCCACATAAACAACACAAAAAATAGGCAGCAATGGAAGAAATGCCTGAGAAAAAAAAGGCAGACTAAAGCTCAGGCTCTGTGAACTCCTGGGACAGAGAAGTATTTACCCAAAGTTATCTCACACACCCAGGTTTCCTGAAAACACAGATGTGCCATTCTTCTGGGAAAATGTTTTTGGCTGGCAGGTAATGAAACTACGTCCTAGCACTGACAATTCCACACCTACACACGGTCACACAGAATGTGCAGCTACAAGTCACTACAGCAGTGCTGAGACACTCTTTACACTCTGGCCCCACACATGAGAGGGGTGTCCAGAATGATGGCTGTGAGACACGCTAATGCAGATTTCCCTGGTTCTTTTCAGCTTTTTCCACTGAAATACAAGTGTCTCCTATGCAGTGCTGTCAAACCCAACTTCTCTTATGAGTCCCAAATGCTGCCTGAATATTCCAGGGCTAAGATAAGTATCTGGTCTCTTATAACAACAGGACTGACCCTTCTTTTTTGTTTTTGTTTTTGTTTTTTTTTTGTTAAGTCTACATAATGCTCAGCAGAGCTTACTGCTGCCCAAGAGGATGCATTACTAACTTGCTTCCTTTCTATAAATTACTTCTCCACATCTTTCTCTTCATTATTGCTGCATGAAAGATGAGCTCTTTCTGTTATTTCTTCCAAAACATGTAATACTCTTTAACCTAAACACTGACATAGCTACATAGGAATACAGGAACAACCCCTGGAGGTTCTTCATGGCTAAAGCTGATATTCAGAGGCAAGTAAGAACTAGGGAAAAAATGTGTAAGAAACTGACCTTTCTACTGGGAGGCTTGAGAACAATAAAAGGAATTAAAAGCAATGTATCTCTCCCTGATATAAGATTACTTTTTCACATTTTCTACCTTGATTATGAAAAAATTAAATTTAAAAACTAAATAGGATTATGGGATAAAAGAAAACATTCTGTTCAAATCAAATTTGAAACCAAATTTTTGGTTTCTGTTGTTTTTTGGCCTGTTGTTTTTTTACCTTTTACAAACTGATTAAAACCAGTCTCAGAATGCTAATATGAAGGAGTAAAAACATGTTTCTTGCCAACAATGCCAACACATAAAACACAGTTTGACAGGTCTGCCAAAAAAATTGCCCCCCTCTTCCATTTGGGACGACAGGATTCAGGCCAGATTTACAAATGATCATTGGCACACCTGAAATCCCTTTGTGGAACACTCTGCTAACATTTACGTTTGTGCCACTATCTTGCACCTTCTTATGACTGAAAAGACTGTGAAATAATAGTTTTTGGAGTATTCTCTGTATTCTCTCATATATGCCAACAAACTGAAGCAAGGAGTTTTGTCTGGAAAGACGAAGAAAGACCCTCTCTCAGCAGTGCTCACTATTTCAGCCCTACCTTTCACACAGGAAACCCAACTGCAGAAGAGGACAGTAGAATAAAAGTGAGAGAAATTAAAAAAAAAAAAAAGTATTTAGGGAGGAAAATTTAGAAGAAATAAGAAATATGCTGAGAAAGGAGCAAATAAACTAAAACACCAGTAGGCATAAAGGCAAAAGTATTCTCCTGCAGCTTTCTGAAGAGGCAAACTGACATAAAAAATAAAAAGATGGCATGACAGACTGACCTAGGATTTTTAAAAACAGTAATGTACGGATGGACTGGTCAGCTGGAAAGACCATGAAGTTGATGCTATTTTCTGGAGGAACAAACACCTGACAGGTTTCACCAGGCACCATTAGCTGCCAGCACTCAGGTAGCAAGGCTGTAAGAGGGGCTGTGAGCTAACTTCTGACACTGCAAAGCCTTCATGGCATTTTTCCTTCCCTGGCAGGAATTTAAATATACATGTGTGCATTCACACAAAAGAGTCAGAGCATATCTATCATCCCTTCCTTTTTTTTTTTCCTTTTCTTTTTTTTCTGAATCACAGAATCATTTAGGTTGGAAAAAACCTCTAAGATGATGAAGTCCAACCTATGACCAAACACCAAAATGTCAGCTAGACCATGGCATTGAGTACCACATCCAGCCTTTCCTGAAACACTTCCAGACACAGTGACTCCACCACCTCCCTGGGCAGCCCAATACAGCGCCCAGTCATCCTTTCTGTGAAGAAATGCCTCCTGATGCAAAAAGCTAAACCTCCCCTGGCACAGCTTGTGTCCTCTTGTCCTTTTGCCAGCTGCCTGGGAGAAGAGACAATGCTGTCCATAGAATACAGCTGACCTAAAGAACACTGAAAAAGTGGCTTTAAAACATGGTATTCAACCAAGTTAAACGGCATTTAATGACCCTTTAATAAGCCATCCTCTGTGTCATCTGCTCCATCCAATTCATGATGGTGCTCTGAAAACAGCCCAAAGCAATTTGGATGGAAGATTTCATCATGCTCTCATCAGGACTGCACCTGCACCCTCACACCTGGACACGATGAAGTGGGGATGTCCTCCACAAAACCACACTCTCCCTGAAACACACACCCAAGCAGATCTGCAAGAGCTCAGGAAGGTGCTATAAATCCTAAGGTTCACCTGCTCTTTGGGAGTTCATGGTCCAGGCCACTCAGGAGGGCATGGGTGGCACGTGCTTTAGATTTACAGATTGAGGCTTTTTGTGCATTTGTGAAGGGCATAAATCTTTCTGTTCCACTACAAAAGAGGCTTCCTCTCTTCCAGAGGCCTGAAGCTTAGCATAGCAGTGCCTGTCCTCCCAGACAGCATCCACAGCTGAAAGCTGCAGCAAGGAAGAGATGTCTTCAGGCAAGTCACACACTGAGCTAAGGATGGCACTGATGAAAGCAAGAGGCAAAACAAACAGGCTGAGACTGATCGTGTGACCTCATGATCAGGATGATGCAATGTATCCAAAGCTGACCTTTTTGCTTCCTGTTACTGCTTGACTCTAGAAATAACCCAGGTAGCAGTGCATAATTCAATCACACTGGCAAGTTTATTCTCCCAGTCCGTTACGAGGGCATGGTAGGCACCAACAATAAAGTTAAAGTAAATGTCAGGAGGCCAGTGAATTACTGAGGAGAACATTTGTTCTGATCTTCCATCAAGCACAATAACTCTAATGGAAGCTAGAAAAAGGCTGTAAAACCTAATACCGTGATGCAAGCAGGCAAACACCCAATCTACAGTCTGAGCACAGCAGGAGAAAGAGAAAAAGTAAGTAATCATTCTTACTTCACTACACAGATATGAAAGTGAGCACAGCATTTCCCTACCATCTTTTCTGGCTTGGCTGAAGTCCCTCCAGGGGACCCATCACTGTTCTTCATGAGCAGTTTGGATCCAGCAGATGACAGATTTTTGGGAGACAAAGCAGATTAGGGACGAAGACACGCTGAGCAGGTATGAATGCTGGCTGACAAGAAAAGTATTTTTACCCATTTTGTCAGCTGTGCTGCAGCTGCAGTGGGCTGAGTGACCAGGAGAGCTGGGGATGCAGGAGGGCTGAGCTGCAGGGTGTAACCAGCCCTGCCCTCACAGCACAGCTGGCATACTGCTCCCTCTAGCTGTCCCCACAGCAGCAAGACGAGAAGCTGGTTTGATTTAGAGGAGGAAGGCTCCTTTTTCATCTTCAGAGAGGTGCTGGAGCAAATCTGCAAGCTTTGGGAAGCATCCCATCCACAGCAGGGCTGTTAGAAACCAGTGGTTGATTTATAGATGAATCAGTCTCCATCTTTAAGTGCAGTGACTGATGATTTTCAAGCCTCTTGCTTGAGCAGGGAAACCAAATGGCTACTGGTTATTTCATAAGTAATTTAAAACTGTATTTACTGTAAGGAGCCTACTGAATCTTAAAGGCAGGATATACCCATGTGCCAAAAGATGAGCTGGTGGGGAATAAGACTAACCTGGCTGAACAGAGAGCTTTGGCTGGAGTAAGAAAAAAAATAAAAAAAAATCAGGAGAGCTTATGGCCTCTGGAAAAAGGGCAGGTAACTCAGTAGGACTACAAGCATGTTGTGAGGTTATACAGGGAGAAAATTAGCAGGACTAAAGCTCAACTAGAACTTTACCTATCTGCTGCCAAAAAAAAGACAATAAAAGATGTTTCTCTAGATATACTTATGACAAAAGGTGAGCTATGGAGAATCTCCATTGGATATGGGGGAAATACAGTGACGAAGAATGAGGAAACAGTTGAGGTAGTAGTTAATGCCTTCTTTGGCTCAGTCTTTTACAGCAAGACCCATTGTCCTCAAGGTACCCAGCACCCTGGAAGATGGGGATGAGACGCAGAAGAAAACCCCCACAACCCAGGAAAAAAAGGGAAAGTGACATGATAGATCACTTACACATCCACAGGTCCGTAGGGCTGGATGAGATCCACCCAAGGGCACTGATGGAACTGGCAGAAGATCTTACTGAGCCACTTTCCATCACTTATCAGTAGTCCTGGCTAACTAGGGGTGTCCTAGTGGGCTGGAAGTGGAAAATGTGATGCAATATCATGGAGCATCATACTGAGTGCCCCCTCACGTGGCATGTGCAGGATCTGGACAGGCTGGATCGGTGGGCCCAGGCCAACGGTACAAGGTTCAATAAGGCCAAGTGCAGGTCGTGCCCTTGGCTCACAACAACTCCATTTAGCACTGCAGGCTGGGGAAGGGCAACAGGAAAGCTGCTCAGCATAAAACATGAGCCAGCTGTGCCTAGGGGGCCAAGAAGGCCAATGGCATCCTGGCCTGGATCAGCAACAGTGTGGCCAGCTGGATCAGGGCAGGGATTGTCCCTCTGTACTCAGCACTGGCACCTGGAGTGCTGTGTCCAGTTCTGGGCCCCTCACTGCAAAGAAGGACACTGAGGTGCTGGAGTGAGTCCAGAGAAGGGCAACAGAACTGGGGAAAGGTCTGGAGCACAAGGCTTAAGAGCAGCTGCTCAGGCAGCTGAGGGTGTTTAGCCTGGAGAAAAGGAGGCTCAGGGGGACCTTACCCCTCTTTACAACTACTTGAAAGGAGGTTGTAGCAAGGTGGGTGTCATTCTCTTCTCTTGGTAATAAATGATAGGACAAAAAGAAATCACCTGAGTTTGCACCAGGGAAGGTTTATATTGGGTATTAGGAAAAGTGGTCAAGTATTGGAACGGACTGCCCAGGGAAGCGGTTGAGTCGCTATTCCTGGAGGGATTTAAAAGACATGTAGACATGGCATTTAGGGACATGGATTAGTGGTGCATGTGGCAGTGCTGGGTGAATGGTTGGACCCAATGATCTTAGAGGTCTTTTTCAATATAAATGTTTCAATGATTGCAACCCCCAACACAAACCCCTGGGTGAGCCCTGCAAGCCTTTCCCCTCAAAAGTCACTCCTGAAGAGTCTTGATGTTTTGTAACAGCTGTCATTGAGGTTGGGTCACGTATCTCAAGATCCTAATGAATTCCCACTCAGGCAAAAAGCTTAGATCCAGGGCCATCCCATAGCTTCCTCAAGTCCTTCTAGCGACTGGTAGAAGGCATTCAATGCTGAACATAACTAAATTCCTTCAGGAAAAAAAATAAAAAAAATCTAGTCCCAGTTGTAACCTGCTGGGCATTTCTGAAAACTTGCCTGTTCAATTTTAGCCTGCTTTGAAAGCACGTAACAAATTAAATGGGGTTCATTTGTTACGCAAATGATAGCTAGGGTTTCAAATAAAAAAAGCCTAACCTTGATGGAGATTTCATCAGTGCAGGCTATTATTTCCCTCTGCTAATGGCTAACGGCCTAGTCATCTTCACCGAGCAGCAAGAGGTCTCCCAGCTGCCTGAGTGAATTATGGCTGGAGTAAGTAATATTAACCCCTCCAGGGTAAGTATGTAGGTCATAAAACAAGAGCTGCACACAGCTGCTAATGCCAGCAAAGGCAGCCTGTACTCATCAGCTCGCTGGGCGTACGGCAGGAGAGGGACGGAAGGACCACGGGCTTTGCAGTGGCTGTGCTGTATCACATCATGTTAACTGACATTCTCCTTTGTGCAGGGATGGGTATAAGCACGGATATAAGGTTGTTAGGCCTCTCTTTAGACGGGGGTAGAGGGGAAAATGTCCAAGAGTCTTGTCTGTGGGGTGACCCCATCCCACTGACCAGTGAGCAGCGGCTCTTTGGGAGCTCTGTCTCACTGTTGTGCGGCAGCACAGCTCAGCTGCAACGCCAGGACCCGCTCACTCTGGCTGAAGGAGTGAATAAATCCCCACAAATTGCTATAATAAAGATTCAGCCCACAGACTCCGTGGCGTAAACACACATCTGGTCTCTGTTTGTAATGAAATCAGCTGAAAGCACCATTGTGCATTAATAACAAAAATGCTCAACATATTGCTACCAAATAAGCTCTGCTTGTCTTGAACTTCTATTGTCACATGTTAATGCACTTTTAACACTGATAAATGATGAAGTGCTAGAAAACATTCATCAAGGGACTTAAGAGTCAAAAGATAAGCATTACTGCAGCATTGTTTTCCACCAGTTCTTTTATAATTTGGGCAGAAGTTAAAAACAGAAAGTCAGAGGCACAAACCAAACATTTCACATTGAGCCTGCCTTTCTTTGGTAAAAATTTCTTAACTGTGGGGTTTATCCTGTGCTTGCATGACATGAAAAAATGCTTGAGGATGCATGAAAGGGTGTTTCCTTTTTCAACAACTCAGTACTTTCCATATGTCCACCCACATCCTCCTCCCTCTTCTTCCTTTTCTTGCCACAAACAAGAAATGTCATTCACTCTAGCTCAATTTCACTCTCCAGTCCCTCTCCTTTGCCTTCCCTCACCCTCTTTGCCTTAATTTCTGAGACACTTGCTTTCTCCTTGCAATTCCTGGCTACTGTGCACAGCTCATGCTTTATGTGTGACTGTTGATCCTTTTGGGTTCCTTGTGTGAAAACCAGGAGGCTGATCAAGGTCACTGTGCAGACTCAGAGTGCTCAGCATGGGAGAGGCTTTACCTTTTGAGTGATGTGGTTGATCCAGGGTGAAGAGCAGTTGCTAAGATCAGGTCCTTGGGGTTCCCAGATGCCATCAGGTGCAAGACACCGGAAAGTTGCAACACCTGTAATAGGAAAGTCGCTGTGTTCAGTGTGACTGGTTGCGTTTTGTCCCCAGCAGCCCATGTCAAAGACTTCTGGGAGCTTATTAGTGCTCAGATCTTGATTAGGACGCTTCTGAGTCACCTCAGTGTCCTAATCTCCCATCTTGGTCCTTCAAGGGCCCTAAGACATAAAAGACCCATGATGGTGTGCAGGAATATTATTTCCAATTTGGCAAACAGCACTCAGAGGCAGAGGACTTAAAGGAAAGCTGCCAGGTACTAAGAAACCAGAAGCAGATCGCAAACACTGAACCAGCACCTTGAGCGCTCTGCCCCACCACTGGTGATCTGGGATCAGACCCTGTGCCTCATCTTCTGTGCTGCTTGTTTTATGGCTCTGAATCATCATTACAACATTTGGCTGGAAACACACAAAAGTCTGAACTCTACAAAAGCCAAGATATAATGCTGGGGTTTACTGTCAGCCCCCAGCTGTCAAGAGGGACTTTAGAGGAGAGTTTTGTTTGGGAAGAGCTGCCTGATCCCTGCTGGAAAAGACAAAAAAATGCCTCAGACCTTTTCAGACAAAGAGAAACGCACCACTGTTAATATATCACAGCTTTTAGCAAGTTGCATGAATCACTGGAATTATAGATGGGAAAGGCTTATGGCCATCCCCTGTCCATAAGTTAAGCTATTATCTATTCCTTAGTTATTTTCATCCAGTCCTCAGCTCTAGTGGTTAGGAAAGGAGTCCCTGCATCCAGCCTTCGTTTTCCTTTTTCATCTTCTTTTCCTTTTTACAGCTTTGGTTCAGAATATCCTTTCCCCTCTCTGGGAATCACATCATACTTTTTGCCAAGGAGGGCTAGGAAAGACGGGAAAAATGTTCTTTACCTATTCTTACCCCTGATACCTTTCTCCTCATACTTTAACTTGTATTTTATCAGTCTGTCCTCACCAAGTTCCAGAGTGAGCCAGTACTCCATAATATACACAGGTGAATGGCTCTCCAGGAGTGGAGAATTAACACACAGTCTCTCCCCTGCAAGTCAGATCCCTTCAGCCCTCATTTTCAGGCAATTTCCTCCACTTTTAAGATTTCTGCTTTGAAAGTGAGTTTTTGGGGCTGGACACCAAGACAAGCATGAAAAATAACTATTTTTAGAAAACTGCATTTGTTAAAGCACGGCAAACTGAAGCAAATGCCAAAACCCATTCTTAATGCGATTATGTTTCAAATTGAACAGAAAATTTCCAAAAGCAACATTTTTCAAGAAAACAATTGCGGGAAGAGCAGAAGAAAAGGAGCAAAATCCAATAAGCAATAAACCATTTTGAAAGATTTGGCTTTATTCTCCCCCACCCCCTGCCACATTTTCCCAGCTGATCACCCTGGATGCTGGCTGCAGTTTAAAAAAAAATCACTCACACTGGTTCAGGAGCTTCAAAGCAAAAGTTTGGTTGATTTCCTCCCCTGTCCTCTCTCTTAGCAAAACAAGCAAACCAATTAGCCACCAACACATCAGTCAGTGAGCCCAGGGGCGACAAAGACAGGCAAAACCAGGTAAGGCGCTCTGGAAGCAGAGGCTCTTCCAGCACATCAAGCACAGCCCCACAAGTTTTTGAGTACAGGCTGCACACTGACGAGGTGTCACAGGAAGTGGAGACAGCCTGCTGTGCCCTCTCAGCCCTCGACTCACCTATGGAGCCCAAGGGACACGGCTGCTTGGCCACCTGGCCCTGCCGGGTCCGGGACCACATGATGTCACGGGCTTCCATGGGGTCGCAGCTCTCGGCTCCGGCCGGCGGCAGCTGGGAGGAGGCGGGCGGCAGGTGTGTGGTCATCTCCTCGGGGACATCGGCCATGGGGGACGGGGTGCTGGTGCTCCTGTTCCTCCTGCCCGAGCCCGATGTGGTGGTGGTGCGGCCGGTGGTGCTGGTGGCCAGGCGCGGCGTGGTGCTGGCAGTGGTGCTCCCCGGGCCCAGAGCGCCCGACGTCGATACTCCTGCAACAAAGGCAGAGCTGGTTAGAGAGAGGAAGGGAACAGGACTCAAGCCTAGGTCCTGAGGATGTCCCCTCTGGTGACTCCAGTGCCCTGCAGGGTGTGACTGGAGCTACGACTGAGGCAAGGATTTTTGCACAGCCGCCTTGCAGAGAGAAGCTGGAGCAAACAGTGAGAGAAGCACACAGGGGGGCAATGACCACTGGAGAACAACTGCTTTTCCAAAAACCATCTGATGAAAATAAAGCAGCGTTTTATGCCCTCACCATTTTCATTCCTGGTATTTTAATGTAAAAATCTAATTTTCCATCTTTTAGGGAATACCTAGCACAGAAGTGCTTTTAATTGTTAAGTGCTGCTGAAGACCCAGACAGGGTCAGGTTTGGACAGAAAAATGTCTTCCGTGGCGTAATAAAAAAACCCCAAAACAACAAAACCAAACCACAAATCTATTCCCAAAAATCCAAAGTGCACAGAGGGATGAACACAAGGCTGCACTATAGAGCAAGCCATCAATTTTCTCTGAGGTTGGTGCTCTGCTGCTCCATCCCAAGAGCAATGCCTGCCCCCTTGATCTGCAGGCCACATGACACAAGCAAAAGCGCACATCAGCCCAGCCAGATCCTCAAGACTTTAATACTCAGATTTTTCACTGAAAACCTGCAATGAGCACTGAAGCAGCAAGAGGTGGGGGCCATGCTTTAGGAGTGCATTAACCCACCGTACATCCTGCAATAGCTGCACCAAGTACCGAGTGCGCGGGGAATATCGAGGGATGCCCACCTTACAGCTGCCTTATTTAACCGCCTCGTTAGACCAAGGTGCTTGCACAGACTGGAGCTTCATAGGGATTTGGCTATGGCTTGACCTGAAATATCAGGTGGGGAAGCTGAAGTAGGCTGCCCCCAGCTGCTCCCCCATCACCCCTGTCATGCCACGTCACACGCAGCTCGTGGAAAAGCTTGCTTCTCCCATCTCCTCTACCTCTCTCAAAGATAAGCACCCTCCAGCTTCTCTCAGCATAAGACTTTTACTCCAGTTAAACGCCAGATATTCACAACTGCCCCCTCAATCCCTGCCTGAGAAAAGGTTGAGGCTGAGGAAGCAATATGAAAAGGCTTGTCTGATCCATTCTCACTTTAATTTTCATGCTCTAACATCTCACTACCATCCCACCTCTTCCAGCATCCAAAAAGTCTTCAGTCACTGTTGCTCCATGTCCAGCAACAGGAAATGGAGCTTCTACACTAGCTCACCTAAGCACCAGGACACTAATCTGAAAACAGGTCTCCAACACTCAGTGATCAGATTTTCCAGCCTTCTCCTGCCACCTCCCTTTCACCATGAACCCTGAGTTTAAATCAACTCTGAACAATACAATGCAAAAACATGCAGACCCTGACAGATTTCTTCCAGTTTCTGCTCAAAGCTGCACTAGGTCACCAAGCATTGATTTCCCCCTGATGGTAACAGGGAGGACTAAAATTTGTAGATAACTTCAGCAAGTATTACATTTTTACTGCAGCAGGACTTGCCACAAGTATGTTTTATTTCTTCATAATATAGATTAGATTGCTAGATGGCAACCTATAAAATTTTTTTCCATTTACTCTTGCAATAACAAGTTATTTCCCTTCTGCAAAATTGCCTATGCCATGTGCAAAGGAGCTGAGGAGATACAGTGGATTCAGTTTCAAAATCAGAGCTAGAAAACCCTGTTTAAAATAATTCTTATAGTCATGTGTGAGAGTATAGAAACATATACTGAGCACCCTGGAGCTCTCCTTGATCCACACACAGGAGATCTGCATTTTTAAGCCTAGTTTTCATTGAAAATCATTGAATATCCCACGGCATGCTGTTTTTGGAATAGCTCTGGCAAGTTTACTGCAGCAGTTAGGCACAAGGGATTTAATGGCATTTTCCTTTAGCCATAAAAAAATGAGCTGTTTTATCTTTCATAAACCCCCTGGCACCAGTGTCAAAATCTCTTTGAGGGCTTGTTCTTCCAACTTTTTTCTTGTTCCACTGGGCTTTCTTGCTGCTTTTGAAAATAAACACATCCACCATTTACATAGGACAAGCTGTAAGACGACATGAAAGAGCTGCCTGGAAGTTGCCTAACGGAGTGAGACGGATGGGATACCACTGCACTGAGTTCAAAGGTTTGATTATTCAAAGAGTCAATTTGGTAATGAGCTCCAGCAATCATGATCACCATGCTAACACCACCCAGTTTTTCACCAGGAAGCACCACTTGCCAATTTTGCTCACACAACTGTGTGCTTCAAAAACCAAGTTAATTGGTAAGGAGGAAAAGAACAGGGGATCAGGATCATTTACATATAAATGATTCTCAAATCCAAGCAAAACCATGAAGAGACTGCAACCTGTGCAAAAGCACCTAAATCCTACATCACAGAACAGAGATCAAACCTCCAGATTAACTTAATTATTTTATTTTTACTGTTTGTTTTTACCATGAACTGCCATATCAAGACCTTAAAGGTTTTAGGTAAGACTCAGTTTTTACTCCTTATGAATCCAAGACTTTGCTGACTTTGATTCCACAAAGCACAGCACTGGAATAGGAATTTTCAGTGCTCCCAAGAAAGCAATTTATGGCTGTGGAAACATTTCTTCCCCAGAAACACCCCAAAGTGATACTTCACTTTTTTCTTCCCTGCTCTATCTAGAGAGCTGGCAGTAATAGCAGAAGACTAAGTTTTGCCATCATTGAGATTAGAGCTGCAGTCATATAAAAAACAAACCCCAAAACATTTCCAGCGTCCACAAGGGAGCAATTGCAACTCCCAGAGGAGCCTCTCTCTACTCAGGGCACATTTAACTAGCAAGAAAATAGAAATGTTTAGGTTTTTCCCTTCTCTCTTTTATTTCCCAACCTCCACACAGAGCTCAGGCTTGTGGAGGCAGATTTTGGCTTAGTGGAAGGAAAATCATGGTAGGGATTTGCTCATAGGGAAAAAATCTCACATAAATAATGGATTGTCTTTTCCCCCATTTCTCTCTGTTCCCCTTTCCTGAAGTAGTGACATGACAAGAGACCAGCACTTTTTATTTGCCACGAGGAAAATGCACCACATGTCATACAAACACAACATGGTTAGATGGTCTGCTCACCTCTGCCTGGTGCTCCCAAATGACTCTGACTAGTGTTTTCCTATAACAAAAGCAGCTTTGATTGCAAGAAGGGATATTTGCTACCTTATCTCTCATTTTTTTTTTAAATTTTGGCACCTAAGTCTCCAGCCAATGACCCGGTGTACTCAATAATACTTTGCAAGAGACATCATGCACTTTCCGTCCCACGAATGAAGATAACTAGGTGCCCCTGGAGCAGAAATTGCAGAGAGGATTTCCTGGGTGAGGCTCACTGGCTTTGGCAAGGTAAGGGATGACAGAAGACATCCATCATGCTGTCCCCCCGGGGTCACAATCCAAAGGTTCAGCCTGCCGGCTGCGTGCTACGAGCCAGCACTTGCTCACGTAATCGCAAGGAGAGGCTGCACTCCAAGTTCCACGCTCATTGTCCAAGCAAACCACGATGACTTCACTTTCTGGCGAGTTCTGCATTCCTGAGCCTGACCCTCAAGGAGATGGGATGGGGTGCTGGCAGGCAGGGGGCCCCGTCTGCTCCCTGTGCTGCACCTAAAGCAGGGCTGGCCAAGTGAGGTACAACTAATCCAGCAGCTCAACAGCAGCAATGCCGGCATTCTCTTGAGCACGTCCAGATTCCATGCAGGATTATTTACACATGTTGCTGCTGCATGAAGGCAAAAGGAGCACTGCAGGAGTTGGGAAGGCTGTGAGAAGCACAAAACCTGGAGCTCCCTCCCTTTCCTCCCTGCCTGTAGTTTTGCCCTTTTCATATTTGGCAACCGCATTCTTTACTTACAGCATCTCTTTTATAATTTCTTCTTCTACTGAAAGATGGTGCAAGTTGTATTTACATAGCAAATAAGAAGGTTCAGGCATGCCTTGTGAAAGAAGCAGCACAAAACCCCACAAACCTAATACAATTGGAGGATTGTATCACAGCTGTTTTTCTCTTCCCTGTCACATAAATGCATCTCACGGGAATTAATTTTCTACAGGCATTTTCAAATGCATTTCAGAACATCTTCTGGAACTCCCTAGAAAAATAGTAATATTTGAAAGTAAATATATTCCCACTTTCTTTTGCCTTTTTTTCTTGCTTTTTTGTGTTTTTTTTCGAAGAATTCCATGTGAGGTGACAGAAAAGGATGATGAAAAGAAGCACCCACACAGACAGCACCAACTCATTAATACACTGTTGGATTGCAAAGTTACACTGAGCCAATGTTAAAGACATCACCCTACAAAACCTTCTCATGGTAAATGTCTGCTGGAAGACCAAAAGCCACGTGCTGGTGCCACTCAAGAGCTGCAGGCCAGGGAATTGACAAGGTGAGATTAGCTCCTAAATTATGTACAGCTCCTTCCATGTGTTTGAGAGCAACTATGATTTATTTTTACTGCAGGCGAAGGCCAAGTCGGCCTCACATCAAACATCTGAACAGTTCTCCCCTCTGCTCACACATGCCATTATTTTGGGAAGCTGAGCCAGAATCCTGCGTGTGAACATAAGTTCACACACTGTTTTTGGGGTGGTTGGGATTGTGGAGCTTTGTTTACTGACACTGACAAAAGGCTTGCAAAACCCATTGATGGAAAGATTTCATATGCAGCGGCCCCACTGTCCTCAATGTACCACGTTGTCTTCAACAACCCAACTGCACACAGCCCTATGCCCTGGAAAAGGCACGTGAAGTATGATACACAGATCTTCCTTTCCCTCCCTCTTAACTAACACAAGGTAACGAGGAAAAGCAGAGGAGGAGGATCCTGCATCTGAGAGGAGGAAGATCCATTCCCTTGTGGACAGCTGACAAATGGAAAAACACTTTCTGCATTTTCTTTTTTCCTACCTCTTCTAGCAGGGGATCAGTTTTTGTGCCTGA